GCTGCAGTGTTGCTGTTTTCTTCCCTTCCCTCTCAGGCTGTGTGGATCCGTGGGAGCCGAAGGTGCTCCGTGCAGGCATGGGAGCTCATTTCCGTCTGCCCATCGTCGCCAACCTGGACTGGGAATCTGTTCCCGGCAACCTTCCTGCCGGCGTCCAGGTCTGCGTGGCCGACAACAAAGACCCAGGCGCTCAGGCTGAGACCGCGTCCGTGTCGAGGGGAGCCGGCGGGGCTGCCTCTGCTCCTGGCAACCCGAAAGCTCCGGTGAAATCCAAACCCAAGGCCGCTCCTGAGCGCGAGGATGAGGAGGGAGCGGCGGGTGTCTGTGTCCCAGAGCTGGCTGCGCAGTATTACTACGAGAACTGGACACAGACTCCAGTGGCAGTGGTGATCGGCGGAGAGACTCATGGTCTCAGTCCAGACGCGCTTCACCTCGCAGCCAGCACCGGGGGGAAGAGACTGGTCATTCCTGTGGTGTCAGGCGTGGACAGCTTGAACTCCGCTATCGCTGCTGGCATTGTGCTCTTCGAGGGGAAGAGACAGTTGCTGCGGAGGCACGAGCAGGAAGACGAAAGGCAGAAGTTCCCTGTAGTGGGCTAAACTGCTGAGGTTTGGGTGCTGAAGAAGCATCCCTTCCCTTTGGCATGCTGTAGGGTTAATAAAAGTGCAGCTCAGGCTGTTTGGTTTGCAGTAAATGGGTATTAAACAGCTCTGGCAGTGTTGGAGCTGTGCCTGGATGAGTGCGTGACTCCCGGGCGAGCCCGGCAGGCGCTCCGGCCGCATGGTGATGCTAGTGAGAAGGGAAAGGCCAGCGGGTGGGGGCTCTCGCCTTGTGGGCGGCCAGCTCCCCGCTGCCCGGCTTTTCTCACTCCCTCCTGTTGGCAGGACCCTGGGCAAGGACCCTCCGGGCCCACCCGGCAGATCTGGGGGGGGGCCTCGGATCCCCCCCTGCGGGGTCAGGGCGCAGCTGCTGTGGCGGTGTTTGTGCTGGCCAAGCCGGGATGCCGCTGACAACGTGTGTCCTTCCTCTCGCAGCCTCGGGCCGTGCGGCCTGGCTGCTGTTAGTGGTTTTGGGGTCAGAAAGGCCAAATAGCGGCCACCTGAATGGGTCCTGCCTGCGCTTACCCGAACCCCGTGCTCTAACAAGCGCCAAGAGCAGCACACCAACCCTGGCCCGGGGCCTGGCTGCGGTGTGGGGTGTCCGAGCTCTGGCACTCGTGACCGTGCCGCTGCCGGGAGGTGGCAGTGTCCGTCCCCACGCAGCCGCCTGGGCACCGCTCGCTCTGGCAGCTGGGCGTCAACGCGAATGAAATTATAAATGGTGGAGGGGAAGGGTGGGAAAGGCTGTGGGCGCGCTGCCGCTTGCTGCGGTCATCCCTCGGAGGGGGGATGGAGCCCCTGGGGCCTCTCCATGCCTCCTCAAGGGCAACAGGCCGGCTCGCGGCAACCCACCTCCATGGATCCAGGATGTGCCACGCAGCCCTGGTCGTGCTGGAGGCTCCTGCCCAGTGGGTGGTGCTGGGGGCCCCGGCCCGGGCTGCACGATGCTCCCTGCATCGCTGGGGGCCACGTGTCGATGGACGGTCCCTGCGACAGCGCTGGCTGCCACCCGGCTTGCTGCACATTTAAAAACGCCTCCTCTACTCTGGCTGCGAGTCACACAACCAGCTACTTGCCACCAGCCCACACCCTGCTGGCTCTGGTTTCCCGTTACCAGATTGAAATAATTTATATTGTCTGTTTGAGAAATACCCAGAGACAGAGATTCAGCCTCTTCCATGCCCCAGCCCTTGTATCTGAGCGCTGCGCAGCACCGCCTGGGCTGGGTGTGCGGTGCGCTGTGAGACAGTGGCATTACCTCGAGCCTGAAACTGCTCCAGCCGAGCAATTCCATCTCCAGAGCCCAGTTCCAGCCCCGGTCTCATCAAATTGACCCCAGATGACTGAATTCTCAGGCAGAAAATTGCTGCTTTGCTCCAGTTCCTACCAAGCAGCTACCAGAGCGGCTGTGGCAGTGCTGAGCTCACTGCCTCACTAGGAGCCCGGACCACAACATCCAGAGGGGAATAGGGGTTCTCCCTCTCTCAGAAAAAAATCAGCCGCTGCTGCATGACCAAATGCTACAGACCCCACGGTCTTTCAAAGCACAAACCCATCACGAGTGCCCCCAAACCAGCAGGCGCCCGCTGAGCCCAGGCAGCGTGCGTGCTGGGTGGCAGTGGGGGCTGGAGGCAACGCTGCAGCCCAGCCCCTGCCCCACAGCTTGAGTCCAGCCAGGCACACGCAGCTCACTGCACAAGCCCTTAACCCTACAGTAGATAACTCACTGAAAAGGCTATTTCCTCAAAAATCTCCAGTAAAGGGGATACGAGTTAATCTAGGGTTAATTTAGGGTAGGTTGCTCACAGCCCAACGCCCAGGGAGGAGCAGCAAGCCGCAGCTCCCAACGCTGCTGTGCTGCTGCCGTCGTGCTCACACCGGCTCCTGCCCTTGGCCCAGCCACACGCAGCCCCCTCCAGCTGCTCCTGCCCTCCCCGGCTCAGGGAGCGGCCAGCCAGGCAGCGCTGCTGCTCCTTGAACAGCTCACCGGTCAGTTAATCACCGCTGAACACGAGAACCTCTGAAACGTGCAGAACACAGGGTGGATTTACACGGTTCCTGCCTTGCCGAGCTGGCGGCTTTTCCCAGCTCCTGCCAGGGTGGGTTGCTGCAGCAGCGATGCAAGGGGAGAGGCCGTCATCCTGCCATCGCTGACTAACGAGCTGAAAGGGAAAAGCGATGGCTTGCACAACACCTGCTATTCGGCACGCACCGCACATGCCTCCGGGACACCACCCTCCTGGGGACGCCGGCGGAAAGCATCGCAAGCGGCGGCGC